TATTTGAATATTGAGATTTACCAGATAATAAACAAAACTTTACTAACTCACAGAGAAAATCTCAACATTTTAAGGTGTTTTTCATCAAAATCAGGTTTTTGTTGCTACTGCTCAAAAAAGTGCTTCAAAATTTAGTTTTATGATTATATTTCAGAATTAATAAGACTTTTATTCATTATATTTTGACAAAATGCAATTTTTGTTAACATTTCAGTCAAAACACTATATTTGCCTTTTTCTCCATTTACAACTGTTGAACTTAAATCCTCACTTCGATGTGACGGCTCACAAATGATCCCAGCAGTGCGTGAGACAGGTTTTTGTGATTTTTTTTCCACTCGTTTTCATGTTTAGCCTCCATGTAGCATTTCAAAATCTATCTTAAAGTATCTGTGACATGAATATACTTCAAATACAAAAAAACAAAGAAAGCATCTTTATACTGAATAAAATTGCCCTAATACATTTTACCCATTTTGTCTCATAACTGGCCTGTTTTATTTTGACAAAGTAAAACAGGAAGTGACATCAAAGGGGAACTCATTAATAAAATAAAATGTTTGGTCTTTATTAAAAAAAAATTTAAATTTTAACTCTTCATCTCTTTTTGATAGAAACTCAAAATAATGTAAATAAACATCAGATTCTTCTCTACAGTCTGTGTTACCTGTTGTACAAAGATCTGTTTACATGTAAACATCTATGACATCACTTCCTGTTTCTTCACATGCAAATATCTCAACAACTGTTCATCTCAGCGACGTGAAATTTGTTTTGCAACATGTTATTAATGTTATATGTCCAAAAATGCATTCAAGTTTAAACAATTTGATGTCACAGACCCTTTAAGGTTTTATCTGGTTTGTTTTCTGCCTTGAGAAATTTGTTGTGAAATTGTGACTTTCACTACGTCTACAGGGCTCCACACTTTTTATGGTATAACAGAAATCAAAGGAGCACTTGCTTCCTAATTTTCAGCCTTTAAAGACCTCTAAATCCTTAACAAATGGTCCGATAAAAAAAACTAAACTAGTTTTGTAATCTGTGCGTCCAGCCTTATGAGTAGAAAAGGAAAAACAGCTCCAAAGCTGCTGGTGTAAAACATGAGGATTACTGGGATGTGAGGACATGTTTTTCTTTTTGATCTTCAGTTTTTTAATCAATAAAAGATGACTTCATTTTCTGATTAATTACAGGAATTAGAGGTCACAGCAGTAGATGTTGGTGAGTGTTACCAGCTGATGGACCCCAGGTTCCCTCCATGTTCCTGATGGTGGAGCTCAGCTCTGCCTCCATCTCTTTCTCAAACTCGTCCCCGCTGGAGGACTCGCTCTCCCCGGTCAGGTACTCCCGGATCAGCTTCTTCTTCTGCTCCGGGGTTCCGTTCAGCAGCACGTCCAGCTCATCCTCCGAACTGAAGCACAGACACACACATGTTCATTTACACTGTTTAATGCCAATAAAAATGTAGGAATTACTCCAAAGTCTCAGCTTTTTAAAAAGCTGCGGGTTTATTTGTAACATGACGTATTCAGATTTGAACAGACTTATAATTTGTGACGTTTGGATAAAATAACTGGTCCACGTTGTGTCCAAACAGTAAAATAAACTATTAGTCTCTGTCTGATTGTACAAGCAGTAAACATTTAATCTGTTTTGTAGAAATGAACTCGCGAGCTTCATCGGTTTGTTTACATGTTAGCATTCGGCTAACTAGCCACCCGGTGCTAATGCTAACGGCGCTCCCCACCTGCTGGCAGCTCGCTCCTCGTCACTCGGTTCTTCCACCTCATACGAGTCAAACTCCTGAGATTTACTCAACTTGTTCATTTTGACGGTTTGAACGATTTGACAAAAATAAAATGAAACATTTCCAGAGAACAAGCTCGGAATGGAGAGCTTCTTCTTTGCTCTTTATTAACCTGTTGACTATTGGCTGGAAGGTGCMTTACCGCCACCTGCTGGACAGGAGTGTTGGACCGGAAATGAACGGTGTAAACTGACACAAACATCTTAACAAACAAATAAAATTTATGTGCAGCCAAGAAATACATTCGACCTATATAAATAATATAAAAGCATATGATATTGTATTTTAGTGTAAAATCAAAAGGACCACACATGTTTCTGTAAAACTGTGAAAACATTTTTATTTCTTCCCATGATTGTGAAATAATAAATACAGTGATTAATTAAGCACAGAGGTCTAAAAAGTACTTGAAAAAACCTAAGTAAAAGTAAAGTTACATGAACAGAAAATGACTTTGTTAAAAATAAATTTCACTGATGAGAAAACTACTCAAACCCTAAAACTGTTCAGAAAAATTGCGAAAGTAAAAGTGAATAAATAAACTGTTAAATTTACTGAACCAAACTGGTTCCACTAAACCAGGCTTAGTAAATTAAGTGATATATTTATATTATTTACTCAATTTACTCAACTAGGCTGAGTCTAACCAGCTGACATGACTTTGAGTAAATTCATTTTTTAGAGCAGAAACATTTTTCATGATGAGTTCTGACATATTTCATTTTGTAACAAGTAACTAAGTGTTACAT